TCTTAATCCCAACATTTTAGATGCTCTTTCTGGTCAGAAATGTTCATGAAACTATTCTCCTCTAGTAAAGGTTTCTATATTCTTGTAATGGAAGATGCAACTAACTATATCCATAATGTTAATATCCAACCTATTTACTCTCCATGAGCAGGTCATGAGCAAAACAGTATTTCGGTACTTCCATTTTGTTTTGAGAATGATTGGAAACCCACGTATGGCTAAATATTGGTAACACTTTCCCGAAGGAAAATGACGCCTCTTTATTGACCGTGGCATCGTTTCAGGATCGAACCCCGATCTGATGTCCATTTCCCATCTGCTTTCCCCAAACGGAACAGAACGGCGAAGGCAGGGGACGTGGGCAATGCAGGGCCTGAGGATCGTTCAGGTCTCTGGCTGAGGCGGCAGACGAAGGGCCTTTCCTGCCTCCCCCGTGAGAACCGCTCTAAAATGACCGTCCGTGAGTGTGCCCACAAGGACAAGGGGAGCAGGAAGAGCCGACAGCCGCGGATGCTGAGGGCCAGAAAGCAGCAGGACCAGCGATGACCGACTCCGTCTGTCCAGCCCTGGCCTTGTCGCAGCCGGCAGGAGGGAGCGCGGGGAAGCACCCGGGTAAAGCGGCGGGACCCCCAGAGGACTTGGGAACTGGCGACCTGCGGCAGCCCCACAGCCGGAGGTGAGGCCGAACACAGAGGTGCTCGTCGGAAGGTGGCTCAAGGAGCAATTCGATCCTCGGGTGTCTTCCCCACTCTCCGCGGGGGGCAGCCCCCCTCACTCGCTCTGGTATACGCCCAGAGGTTTCTTCTCTGGAGAGGCCGAAATGAAGGGCTTCTGGACGGGTAGACAGCAGACAGAAGTGGGGAGAGAGCACCCCTCGAAAACACATGCATGCTGAATGCTGAGGACCACCCACCCCCAGCCCAGAGAGCTGGGGACCCGGCTGGAGACAGGAAGGTCTTTCCCTGGTGAATCTGCCCATCCCAGGATAAAAGCTCCCAAGACCCGGACGGCAGGGGCTCCCCAAGGACAGCCCAGCCAGCCGCCGGTGTGGACCAGCGTAGCAAGTCACACCCAGGGACTCACTTTCCAATCAGCCTTTGAGTTTTCAACAAGTTTCCACTTCTAACTACAAGCCCACAAACAAGCCAAGATGCTAGAGATCTGAGGGACACCTTGAATGCAAAAGACAATATGAAAACAAAGAGCCCTCACCGGTTTGGCTCAGCGATTGGAGTGTCGGCCTGCGGACCAGAGAGTCCCGAGTTCGGTTCCTGCTAGGGGCACGTACCAAAAAAAAGGAAAAGAAAACAAAGAGAGAAAAAACAGCTCCAAGAAAACTATAGTTTTGTTTACTGAGGGGAAATAACAAAAAACACACAAACCTCTCGTTAATATCCTACTTATAAAAGTAACTAAACTTAATATCTTCAAAAAGATAAGAGAAGATATTTCACTGATGTAACAAGAACATAATATTAAAATTAAATAAATATTCGAAGAACAAAAAAAGATCACTTGGAAATTATACTAGTGACATGGGATGATTTCCACAGAAAAGGTGAAAGATAAAGCTGAGATTCTATCCCAGAAAATAGAGCAAAAGACGAAGAAGTGGGAGACAGGACGGAGACACGGGAGCATTAGAGACCCGTCTAGACGAGTCACTCTCCGAACAGTGGGACTTCTAAGAAAAACAGAAAGGAAGAAAACAGCCATGAAGTGATGGGAGAACATCTCTCAGAACTGAGTGACGTGCATTTCCAGGTTAAAAAGCGCCACCAAATGTCTGACACTGTGCATGGCGACAGCCACACCACGCCCGTCTTCATGCCTTGTCAGAACACGCGGTAGCAGGTGCTGCTCCAGGTTCTCAAAGGCTCAAGGGGCAGAACACGGGGGAGGCCAGGAGCCAATGACTCGATGCTTTCGAACTTCTGAGAAAAAGTGATTTGTACCTAGAATTCTGTAACCCTCTCTTCTGGGTATTATTATATAACAAAGTACTTTCACTTTGAGTGGCTTATAACAACACTTATTTTTATATCTCCTGATCTGAGGGTCAGGGGTTCCGCCAGAGCTTGGCTGGTCAGTCCCTCCTCTCCAGGTGATACTGGCATGGCTACTCAAGGGTGTTCACCTGCTGGCCAAACTGTGGGGTGCAAGGTGGCTTCCCTCCCATAACTGGCACCTGGGGAGGGGCAACTGGAAGGCTGGGCTTAGCTGGGCCCCTCCCCCTTTCCGGGTAGGGACTATTTTTTAAATAGGCTTTGATTTTTGAGCAGGTTTAGGTTTACAAAAAAATTGAGCAGAAAGTACAGAGTTCACTTCCCCTCCCTTACCTCCTCCTCAGTCTCCTCTATGATTAACATCTTGCTTTGGAATGGTGCATGTGTATCGATGAAAAGCCAACACTGACACAGTATTCTTAACTAATGTCCACAGTTTACATCAGGGTTTTCTCTTTGTGTTGAACATTCTGTGGTCTTTCACAAATGCATGATGACATGTATCCACCGTTTCAGTTTCATATAGATTAGTTTCACTGCCCTAAAAAACCCTGTATTCACCTTTTTTTAAAAATTTTATCCTCACCTGAGAACATTTTTGCATTTATCTTCAGATAGAGCAGGAGGGAGACAGAGAGGAAGAGAGAGAGAGAAACATCAACGTGAGAGGGACACATCGAGTGGTTGCCACCCACACAACTCCAATCGGGGCCGGGGACAAACTGCAACCGAGGTACATGCCCTTAGCAGGAACCGAACCCGGGACTCTCGGGTCCACGGGCCAATGCTCTAACCAGTGAGCCAAACCAGCCAGGGCTGTATTCACCTTTTAATTCCTCCTCCGCTGTCTCCCCAAGCCCCTGGAAACCACTGATATTTTACTGTTTTCATGGTTTTGCCTTTTCCAGAATGTCATACAGTTGGAATCATGGAGTATGTAGCCTTTACAGGTTGGTTTCTTTCACTTAGCAACATGCATTTAAGGTTCCTCCATGTCTTTTCATGGCTTGATAGTTTATTTTATTTTATTTTATTGCTGAATTATAGTCTATTATATGGGTGTACCATAGTTTGTTTACCCATTCACCCATTAAAGGACATCTTAATTGATTCCATTGTATGGCCTTTTTCATGATGTCTCAGTAGGATAGTCTGACTTCTTACATGGGGTATCTGGGTCTAGAAGACCAAAGTTGACAGGTACCTTAAAAAGCCAGGCTAGCGCAGCTAGAGCGGCTCAGTTTATTGAGTATCGTCCTACACACCGAAAGGTTGCTGGTTTGATTCCCAGTCAGGGCACATACCTGGGCTGTGAGTTTGGTCCCTGGTTGGTGCATATATGGAGGGCACCCTTTTTTTTTCATAGCATCCTCCCACCTTTTAGCATCCTCTATAATTTTTTTATTTATGATATTTAGTGGGTTTTGGGTTTTTTTTTTCTGCTAGGATGTCAACAACACAGGGGCAGAAGTCTGTTGTTGTTGTTTTTCACTTACCAGCATGACCCAGGTACCTAGAACTGTGCCTAGCACAAAGTAAGGCTCAATAGACATCACTCAAGTAAAAATGGATTTGATTTTATTTTAACTATGGGCTGACTAGCTTAGATTTCTACAAAATAAAATAAATCATTCACCTCAAAACTCTACCACAAAGCAAAATCCCACACTTAAAATATTGCTCAGACATCTTAGTCTTCTATTAGGAAATGTTAGCATACGTTTTCTCAGACTTCAAAAAAGAATGAACTTTCCGGTGTCCAAACCTGGTACATGTTTACGTTTCTGAAGCCCTGAGACAGCCAGCCAGCACTATAATATAAGTGAGACACAACACTGAAAATAAATGGTGATTTATGTAAGATTATGATATATGACGTTATTATAATGAAAGAAAATACATTTGAGGAATGATCAAATGCTTCTGAGTTTTGTCATTATTCATTAGTTTATATGTGGTCTTGTTTCCAAAAGGACTTTAGGAAGCCTATAAAATTATAGAGAACATGACATTAAATTGCATTTAAATTAAATTAAATTAAAGCTTGGCTAAAGAAGATAGCATGTCAAAGACGGAACAAATAGGAGCCAAGAAAATTACTTAAAATAGGTGTAATTACAGACTGATACTGGTCACAAATTTGTCTCTTAACTCTGTCCATTCCTATTAGATTCAGCTACAAGTAACAGAAAGACTCAATATATGGGTGGTTTAAATAAGATTATACATGAGTTTATTTCTCTCAAATGTAAGAGTTCAGAGATGTGCAAACTAGGTCTGGTATAGGAGCCCAAGTTCACTGGTCCTCAGGGATCCAGGGTCTTTCCAGCTCACCCCTGCCTTCCCAGTGTAGAACATATCCCCACAGTCTATGATAGCAGCCTTCCTATCCTGGGTAGCAGAATAGAAAAACAGGACAAAGAAAAGGCAAAGAAACCTGCCAGTTGTGCCCTAAGAAACATTCCCAGAAACTGCTGCTGAATAATTGCACTTCCATCTCGTTGCCCAGAACTTAGTGGGGAGGCCACACCTAGCTGCAAGGGAAGCTGGGGAAACAATCCTCACCTGGGCAGGCATATGTCCTACTAAAACTTCTGTTAAAATTGACAAAGGGGAGACCAGGATCTGAAGGACAAAAGTATGTGCCACAGCTTCATAGCCCCCAAGAGAAGGGAGCATGTTCCAAATACAGAGAAGGTAAAAACGACCGATTGTTCCAGAGACTCACAGAAGCTTTTGGTAAAAGCATTACAAAGGATGACTCTGGAGGTCTTCATAAGAAGACAAAATCTGATCTTACCACATCCATGCAATCGTTTCACAGAACTGTTTCTTTGTACTCAGTGACAGTTTAGAGAAGGCACGCCTGCAGAGATCCGATTTTCTGAGTCCATTTTCACCACATTTTTAAAAAATCATAATAAAAACATGTGTGTTTGAACTTCATCATGTGAATGCCCCAACATTAAGTATACACATATACGTTTGTTTCAGACTGAAAGAAAACTCCATTTACCTTCATTTACGGAACAGAAACCGCTGCAACCACAGGGACTACCAGAACCTTGCCAAGAACGGTATGTAGCCCTCCCCTTACGCCGTCACCTATCTGCCTTGAATGACTGACCTTATTTCATAAGCACTACAGAAGCCTGTGAGAATTAGATAACAAGGACCCAGGATAAAGTGAACCATCTCCCTTTCTGACCGAGAGGCCCTGGGCATAGAGCCTCTTCCCCGCAATGAAAGAGAAGAAGGTGAAGTCCGGACACGTAAAGGGGCAGGTCAGTCTCCAATAGCAAAGTCCTAGGAAGGCCAGGGTGCAGGGCATTCAGGGCTCAGGAGGTAAGGCTTGAGTGAGCATTAGCAGAATAAGAACTAAGCAAAATCAAGGTCATTGCAAAGACTCTGCCTTCGCTTCTGGTGCAAAGTCTCCCACATTAGAACTGGATGGGGATAGCTTGGTGTTTGCAGATGACATCCCCAAAGCCATTAAGGAAAGGAAGGTGTCTTCAGAGCGGTGTGGGGATTTGCCATCAGCTCCCCATGTTTCCCAGGACATCTGTGCCTTCTGGGCTTGCTTCTCACCTGTGTGGTTCTCACCTCCCCCTTTGGACCCAGACTCAGTCCACGACCACAGGATATGGATAAACTGTGGCCTGGCTGGTACCTAGTGAATTGCCAAGTAATGTCTTGTGACACCATAATGCAGGGATGGCAAACACTTAGTGCCTGGGAAAGATATTACGCATCAACCTTGGCTCTCTAGGTGGCTCCACCCAGATTCCGCCTCAGCAGTTGTCACAACACAGCAAGTCTGACAAACATCGTCAACAGATTAGACCTGGTGCATGAAATGGGATCTATCTGCCATCCCTGTGCCATCTCTAATTACCAACAGTGTTACGGAATTTTCCGAGCAGTACAACTTTAGCTGAATATATGACCTCAAATAATTGTATATATTCTATACAGAGTAAGTATTCTATTTGAAGAACCACACAGTATTTCTACTAATAAGATAATAGCTGATATTTATTGTTCTCTTGCCAAGTGCTAAGAACACTCTATGTATAATATTTCAGCCAATCCTGTCCACAAACGGGAAGGCAAGTATTATTCTATTTCTTCAGTTTAAGGACACCACTGATTGTAATAGCTCTGGAGAGTGTCAAGGGAGGAAAAATTACAATGCACACATTGATTGCAGCACTTGACCCAATATGAAGTGTGTTAAAATATCTTTCTCAGAATTGAGGAATTATAATGACCTGCACAGTTACCATTGAGAAAACAGAGACACGGGGGACCCAGAACATTTCCCAGAATGCAGAGGTAGCAAGCTGCAAGAGCTGGTGTCACTGCACGCAGGCACCAGTGACAGTCTGTGATTGGAGAGAGTCAGTCTGCAGACAGAGATCAGCTTCACCTGTCCGCATATGAACACAACCAACAGCCAGTCTTTTGAAAAGGGATCATCAAACCTGGTGTGAATCAACATAGACACAGAGTGACTATCAGCCCCTTGTTGCATTTTCTCTTTTTCTTTAGTGAGATATTTAAAGAGTCCCAATGCTGTGGAGAGCTCCCAGTCAATAGAGACTGCAAAAGACAAAGAACAAAAAACGCCTGTGTGGAATATTATGCAGCCCTACAAAATGATGGTTAGAAGGTCACATATTTTTGTTTAGAAAGAAAAAACACTGCCAAAAGAAAAATTCAGGATGTAAGACTGGATAGTGTATTGAATTTCCACTACATTTTAAAAAATAAAAGAGCAAATAGCTATACATAAGCTAGGTAGAAAACACACCAAAAGCATTGTGCTTCATAAATTATGGATAAGTGCTTTATTTTAATTTTTCTGTTTCCCAGAGATTTTACCTTTATATAGAAATAACAACAACCAAAAAATCTCTAGAAAGGAGCTGAGTCTAAGAAGAGTAAAGGGCCGGTCCAAGCCCAGAGCTGAGGGAATCAGGTTAGGGCACTAAATGAGCATCAGGATTCTGCCAGAAAGGCAGGCTCTGTGTGTCCATGACAACAGCATCGCTCTCTTCACCAGACCCAGACATGTCAACTCAGCATCATTTTCTACCCACAATGAATACAGCGATCTTCTGTCAAATCCAAAAGACCAAGGAAGACACTCCAGAGAGTGCTCGGTACAGTCGGTAGCAGACCTTCCTCTTTTGTGATATGCTGTCTTCACATCTTTCCTCTGCGATTCAGACTGTGGAGACGAAGCGGGGAGCGGGGTGGAGAGCCCAGTCGTGAAAACACACGCATCTCCAAACGCGGCCCAGCCTGTGGCTCCCGTCAGACTTCTGTCTAATGAACAGATGCCGGGAAATCAGAAGATGCGACTTCCTTTCTCTCTTTGAATTTGTAATCCCTGGGAGTACAGAGGATGGAGACAGTCTAGTAAAACTTTTCTGAGGTGCTGCTTGACTATTTCTGTAAGGACATAATTCTTCAAGGACATTTTTTTTTTTTTTTTAGTTTCTCAGCGTTGCTCATTATTTAATGTTGGGGTTTTCTTCTCTAGCCCCTCTGCCTGGTTTTGGAGCTCTTCCTCACTATGGATTTTCTTTTAATATAATGCAGCATGTAACCCAACTACCCGTGCCAAGAGATTTCAATTACTCCCCGAGGTTTTTATTAGATATAGGGAAAGCCAGCTCTCTCTATCCTGCATATTTATGGCTACACTTATTTTTCATTACCAGCAAAAAAAAAAAAAAAAAAAAAGAGGAGAAAGAGTTGAATGGAATACTAAGCGTTCCTTGAAAATTGTGTAGTCAGAATGGAAGAAAAAGCTCTTGTTTTGGCCTTGACGTGCAGGTATGAGGTCTCAAGGTGTCTGCAGATCTCCGAACCATGAACTGCTGCTGGGTATAAAGTATTTCAAAGGGTGAAATGGCGAAGTCGCCTTCGATGGAGGCGCCAGCTCTCGGGTGGGGTCGGGCTCTGCAAGACTCCTGCTCAGTCTTCACAGGTAGCGGGGGGCTCACAGCCTCTGGGCCACCAAAGCGGCCAGTGGGAGGCGGCCTTGTGCTTAAGGGGGAAGGAGCAAAACGAACGCCTCACAGAACAGCCAAGCGAGGCCCAGGAACTAGAGGTCTTCCCTTCGTCGTCGATTCATAAAATCTCTTTTCCTTGAAGTACAAATAGCACACCGGTTTTGAGCGTCGGCCCGGGGACTGGAGTGTGACTTGGACAAATTATTCCATTTTTCTGGCCTGTCTCTGCGTCTATAAACCAGGGATCCTGGTTCGACGGACACGGTCGCCCAAGGTGACCCCGGATCTCACTGTGGGTTGCCTAGACAACAAGCCAGCTCCCATGGGCCGTCTTCACTCCATCCTGATGGGGGAGAGACGGCCCCCAAACTCAGTGGGATGAGGGGGTTCAGGGGACAAACCCAGTCTTGCTAGTGTGCCCTTTCCCCAGTAAAGCCAATTCCTTGAACTATGTCACATGATATCATGGAATTCATCACCAAACCCAGATGGGGCCCGCTTGGCACCGCGGGTGACAGGGACACCTCAACTTCAGGAGGCTGTTGTAAGGTTGCACGGGGAAACCCCGTGGTTTGGGGCTGGAGGGAAAGACATCACGGGGAACACTCCCTACTGCTGGGTGTTCTTCGCTAAGTGAACCCGCCAGGTGTTACCAGCCCCAGAGCATCCTGGGACGTGCCCTGGTCTCCTCTTTTACTCTCCTTCCTCTCGTTTTCCACTTGATTTTGCCTCTACACCCCCCCCCCCCACCTTTTCCCCTCCAAAATCGCAGTAGGTGCTAGAAAGAGAAAGAGGAGCAAGATAAGGTCCTGCCTTCACAGGGATCATAACTAAACGGGAGAGACGAAGGAGGAAACAAATATAGTGCTTGTAACACGACCCCAGGCAGAGGTAGGCTGGGGCCTCTGGAAGTGAGAGCCGCTTACCTCTGCCTGGAGAAGGAGAGGAAAATGCCACAAAGAAGCTACCTTTGAGCCGAGAGCCTTGCAGAAACAAGTGGGAATCCAGACGGCGGAGGGAGACGGTGACTCAGTGCATAGACGGTCCAAGGACAAAATAATCTTTGGGGAAGAGGTCAGTGTGGCTGAAGGATGCTTGGGAAACTACATCAACTTTTTGGAGTAGGAGGTAGATTAGAGTGACATTGGGAAGCTACTAGATTCTTTTAATAATATGTGTTTGGGAGAATCATTTATCTGGTTTGTCACAAGAATTCAGAACCACACTCATGCATTTGAGAGCATTTGCCATAGTAGAAACATCATCAGAAAGTGTCACAACAAACAATTATTAACTGCCCACTATTTTGAGCTCAAGGTCAACATATTAGTCTGAATGTTTCTGCTTATGGCAAGCAAACATTTTTAGAGAAAGGAAGGAATTTAAATTTCTCAGGGTGAATCTTTTAACTGGATTCTACAAATCATGCTCTTTGAAATGCTTCCTAAATGTTGAAAGGATGAGCGAAATCTGCATTACTTTACATCTAATTAGAGTTAAGTTCCATGATGGGGTTTATTTAGGTCAGTGCATGACACCCCATTTCCATGGACTTTCCATACTCTGTACAGTGCATTCGGGCTTCTGGTTCCGGGCCCAGGGGCCTCAGCACGCTTGACCCTGCCTGTCCCCCAGCTGTGAAGCTGGGCAGAACGGGTAGAGCAGCTCTTGGGGAGCCCTGGGAAGTAAATAGTAGCAGGTGCGTTGGAGAAGAAAACAGAATTCAGGGCACCGCCGAGCCAGTGGTGAGGTCAGCGTGGGTGGTCCTCTGCTGTCTCCCACCTGGACTCAGGGCGCCCCCAACCCAGAGGTGGACGGGGCACAGAGACATCACGTCGGAAGAAATCACTCTAGACCTGAGAAAGGGGAAGGGGTCTCCTGCAATGACAGTGGCAGCAGTGAGGACTTGCAGGTGCCTCAGATTCTGAGGTGCTGGGGGACTGCCTCTCCAACTGGGGGAGCTGTGGCCCCAAGGGGCGGAGCAAGCACAGCCTCCTGCTGGTTCCTTGCCCCGTCCTCCCCTCGCCCCGTCCCCCCAGGTGTGGGCCTGTGGGAAGTGCACAGCAGAGCGAGGGAACGGAAGTTGGGGCTTTCAGACCGAAGAGGGGAGCGCAGGAAACCGGAGAGTACCAGGGAGATGATGGGGGGTGGAGAAGCGGCCTCACAAAGTTGTGCATGAATGCCTGGGCTCCCCCCAGAGCTGCACGTGCGTGGACCGGATCCTCAAAGCACACCAGAGACTGAGGACTGAGCTCAGGCAGAGACCGCGGCCCAGGCCCCAGCCCGGCCACGCAATAAATCGCACAGACATGAGACAGATCAAAATGATGCTGCAAAGGCTTTGAAAGTGGAGCTGATGTTGGGATCACCACCTCACAGAAGGCTGGCGAGAACGTGCCACCTGCACCTGGGCAGGTATTTGCCCACCAAGACAGACGCACAGGACTCGGGGTTTTCTGAGACCACAATGCCCAGGTATTTACCCTCCATTGGGTAAGCCCTCGCCTCTTCCACGCTGGCTCTCTTCGCTGTCTGGCCTCACGTCTGTGTTGTATGTCCTTCTCCTTAAAGAGGACCCGCCGAATGACGTTAGCGCCACAACTCGGAACCTGGATCCACCCTTGTCCTGTTCAGATACTTAGGACAAAGATGGCATTGAACTAGAGGTGCGTTTCAGAGTTGTGTGTAAAAAGCATCAGCTATTTTTTGGGGAATTACCCCAGTTCAAGAAGGGAAACATTCTTCCTTTTAGTGCTCCCAGAGTCCTCTGAGCTTCACACGTTATGCTCGTTACTTGTTTAATAACTAGAAGTTTCAAAAGAACACGGACTGTATCTTTTTTTTTTAATCCTCACCCGAGGATATGTTTCCACTGATTTTTAGAGAGAGGGGAAGGGGAAAAGAGAGAAAAATATCAATATGAGAGAGAAACATTGATCAGTTGCCTCCTGCACGGCCCCTACTGGGGATCGAGCCCACAACCCAGGCATGTGCCCTGACCGGGAATCGAACCGGGACCTCGGTCAATGGGATAATGCTCAATCCACTGAGCCACACCGGCTGGGCTAGATGTTTGTGACTGCTACTTTTAAGTCTGCTGGGACAAGTGCCGTTGGCCTGCCGTCCTCATTCTGAGCAGCAAAGGGATGTGGGCGGTGTGGACATGGGGGGAGGCTGACCATGAGGCATGCCATGACAGGTTCTCATTTTCATTTCCCTCAGGCTCTGTGGGTGGTCTGCACCTCAACTTCCCACCTGTGCTCTGGATAATGAGGAAAAGTATTGGCATGACCTGGCCCTTTAATTTTTTCCCTCTCATACCTTGAGTGTTCATTAGTTTTCATGTCTCGTTAACACACAAATCAAAGAGTGAGAATTAAACACCTCTTGATTTATTATCTTTCTAAAAATGGGAAGTTGAGCGCATGGGGCTGGAACTGAATGAAGAGCCCAGCCGACAAGACGATGCTCCGTTGTGGGCATTCTGCCAGCATGCGGGGACCACCCTCTACCCCTTCACTTCTGAGAACAACAGGGAGCAATCTAACACCAGAAATACTTTGAGTTTCTACACTTAGGACTCAATGAGGCATCTTCTCTGAGCTGAGATGATAGGCTCAGATCACACTGGTTTTCCTCCCTTTGAGCACTGGGGATGGCTTTGCATGAAACCCTGCGCCCGTACTCAGTTACGTGTCCACCCCAGAGAAACTGCCGCTCAGGGATGAGGCCGTGTCCAACTCTGTTAATCCCCTGCTCTGTGGTAGCCTGGTGGGGGCTCCGCAAGTGGCTGGGGAGGGTGAATGAATGCATGCATGCAGACAGGAACTGACTGCTCTTAACTCGTACATTTGTGTGCGTGTTCAATAATACCCCGCCGCACACACAAAGAAAATAAAGGCGGTGTGTCGGTTCCTCTGAAAGATTCCACATAGCATCACCATGTGGTCCAGCAGTTTCATAGGGATACCTAAAAGAATTGAAAGGGGGGTCATGGCAGAATTATTCACAACAGCCAAAAGAGGGGATTAACCCAAATGCCCATCAGCGGATGAATGGACAAACGAAATGTGGTATGTCCATTCAGTGGAATATTATTCAGCCTTTAAGAAGAAGGACACGCACTTCAGACAGATGAACTGGAAAACATTATGCTAACTGCAATAAGCCAGCCACAAAAGGACAACTGTTGTTTGATTCCACCTCTGTGAGGTACCTGGAGTCATTAAACTCACAGAGCCAGAAAGTAGATGGTGTTGGCAGAGGCCAGAAAAGGGGTGAATGGGAAGTTAGTCTCTAATGGGCACAGGGCTATAGTTTGAGATGGTGGGAAAGCTCTGGAGACCCATGGTGGTGATGGTTGCCACCAATCTGATGTACTTAATGCCACTGAACTGGACACTTAAAAATGATTAAAGTGGTAAAGTTTAGTCCAGCCAGTGTGGCTCAGTGGTTGAGCATCAACCAATGCACCATTAGGTCACTGGTTTGATTCCTGGTCAGGACACATGCCTGGGTTGTGGGCCCAATCCCCAGACAGGGGCATGCAAGAGGCGGCCAATCGATGTTCTCGCTCATCGATGTTTCTCTCACCCTCTCCCTTCCTCTCTCTCTAAAATCAATAAAGGGAAAAAAAAAATTTTAATGGTAAAGATTATGTGTTAGGAATTTTACTCCAATAAAAGAAGGAAATAAAGTATTGTTTGTTTAATGTACCAACATTCCTGAATCAGCCAAGAGACCATCTACGCCGCCCATGGTCACACAAGGGAACGTGGGCCAGCATGCCCTCCATGGTGTGCACTGCCCTTTGTCCCATGTGGATCTGTGAGAACACACACGGGCTCGGTCATAAAATGCACCGGCACCCCCGACCTTTCAAGCCTGGAAGTTACAGAACAATCTTCATTGTCCTTTGAGTTGTACCACCCCCCTGAGGATTCTTCACTTATTACTGCAGACCAGGCTCCAAGGGACAAACAACAAAAATAACGACCTTATTTGGGTTCATTCTCTCTAGACTCCCGGCCTAGAGAAGCGATGTGGCTCAGGGAGCCAGAGCTCAGCATTGCAGGCAGGAAGGACAGGGTTTGAACTGCAGTTTTCCAAATTAGCAGCCGTGTGGCTTTGGGCAAGTCATTTAAGTGAGCCTCATTTTTCTCATCTATAAAATGGGTCTACTAATATGCCTACCTCTCACAGCTGTGCCAAGGCCTAGATGAACTAATACAATAAAGTGTTTAACAGAGTGTCTACAATAGCGTGAGCACTCAGTAACTATCACTTTCATATGAGAGAGACGTTACAGGTGGTAACAGGGATGTGGTCATACATGTATGTCATCACAGGAGCTGAAACATACCATCTCTACAACCCGAACCGTGCACCGACCAGCCAGCAGGAGGAGCCTCGGCAGCGAGCAGGAATACCACCAGCAGGCCTTCGCTGGGGCTCTCTGGGCAGATGGGTAGTTCACAAAGGATCCTCACTCTCATTCCTCAATCTTGGGTAGTTTCTCTCTCTGGTGATAGATAGCTACCTTTGCTTACACCTACTAGCAAGTTTACTCATTCATGTTAGAAAATGTCTTGAGACCTGTAAATCCAAAGAATGTGGGGTCATGTCAATATGATGACATAAAACGCGTTAAGAGGGTGAAGTTATTCCCGGCAGCCTGACCGTGTGGATGGGCCTCTGAGTGTACAGTAATGTTCCTTCCCTTTCAGCACGTCGGACTCATCCTGATAGGCTTGAACCGAACTCACTAACTTTGGTTATTTTCTTAATTTTAATTATTCAGGTGCATCTTCCCAAAACCTGGAGAGAATTATAGAAAGGTAAGTGGAAGAGGGCTATAAGACGTTGTTTTCAGACTGAGTTTGTCATTTTGAAAAATGAAGGAAAACTCTGTTGTTGCCCCGTAAATCAGTTGCCCTGGGCATCAGTTAGTCACTCTGCAAACACTGGGAGGTTATCCCTGCTTGGGCCGGTGAGCGTGGGAAGTGTTGATTTGCTTATGTCCTTAAAGAAGGATCATAAAAATATATACAAAGTGGGTGAAACAGAGATATGGCCAAAAAGGCCGAAAGGATTTCATATTCCTGTTGAAGAATGAGAAAACAATTTTGTGCTCATTTTGGGCTTAAAATTCAGAAGCCCAGAATGGAAACCTTGGGAAACCCTTGATTTTTTAAAACGGACTGCAGGCCCACAGGCTGTCTTATGGACACGAGTAACCCAGGTAACTCCTCTGTGTCTATTGAGGGCAAAGGCTGTGAGAGATGCTAAGAAGATGGTAGCATGTCCCTCTGCGGCTGACCACTCCGCTCTTCAATGTCATACATATATGTGGTCTCTCCCTAGGAGTAGATTAAAGATGATAGAGAACAAAGGGGGAACTAGCAAGGGGTGACACTAGAATGAAAGAAAAACAGCAAAAAGTGGCCCAGAGGGTGGGCATACAAAGAACTAGGTTTCCCAGTGTCTGACACTCAGCCGTCCGTGGCTTCTCAGTCTGTCTAGGAACCCGCGGTCGGACCATCCAGCCATAGTCATATACGCCATGATCGGAAATGACGTCTGCAACGGGTGAGTTATTCAGAAAGAGGGTTTGAACATTCTTCCCATCTGGGCTCCCCCTTCCCCCCACTCCACGGCAGCAGTTTGCTGTTGGATTCGACGTCTCCACCTTCGCAAGTCCGGGACCCAGGTGGAGTCCGCAGAACCAGCCTGGAAAGCGGAAAGACCCTTTCTCCAAACGTCTGTTCCCTGACTTCTCTGCTCCGCTTCACAACTGGGTGTGTCATGATCAGTTCTGATTTGTGTCGCAAGAAATACGCTTCTTCCGGCCAAGAATCCAGGACTGACAATCATGACTTCTTCGGCAAAATAAGGCAGACTCACAGCTACCCCATTAGCACAGCCTCCTCACTCACGTCCTCACACGCCGACTCACGGGGTAGAGACACCCTAGATTTAGAGCCTTCGCGAAGAAACTGCACACACTTCACGGCCAGTCTCATTTACCCCCGTGGTCCATAGAACAAGGCAGTTGTGCTAACCCACTAATATCAGCAGTGATTTCAAAATGTTGAACGCCTTCATTCCCCAACAACATTGTGGAAGATTTCTCAAAATCTGTGTGTACCCCCAAGAAGATGCTGCGTATGTGCGTGCCATCTGTTCTGTGATCACAGCCAAAAAGAAAAGAAGGTGACGTCAGAGCTGGAACACCCACACTCCCCAGGAACCACCCACACTCCCTTTTCGAAACAGACAAGCAAAGCTCAGGAGGTTACACCACTTGCTCAGTTGATTGATTAAGGACAGAGCTGGAGCCCACCCAAGGTAATGCCAGAAGCAGGGCTTCCTGCTCGCTGACCAGCCTTTGCTTTCCTGCAGTTCCCAGTGCAATGTCCTGAGAGCATGTCTGCCCGCAAGGTCACCTCCATGAGGATCTAGAGTTCTTCCAGTGAAGGTAGGGTAGACCCAATCAGTGGAGTGAGCTCAGGGCAGGGGCTACCACGCTGGGATCCAGAATGCTTATGTGCCAGGCTCTGCCTTGGCACCCTTGAAGCTGGTTTACTGCTCTCCCCAGAACCCCAAGTCTGCCAAGAGTACTGGGGACCCATGTCCCAGCCCCTTGACGGACCACCTGGGACCCTCCACTAAATAGCAAACAGCCCCCAAAACTGTCGTGAGCCCAGAGCCACGCCACTTGCTATATCATCCCACCCCACGGCAGCCCGGAGAGGCACGAACAATTGTCCCCATTTTACAGATGAGGAAACTGAGGTTCTGCCAGGTTAAGGAACTTGCTTATCCTGCCATGGAGCATTGAGCAGCCAAGCTGAGAGCCCAACCAGGTTCCCTGGTGAAAGTCCATGCTCTCCCCTACAGTCCACACTTGCCTTACTTGCTTTCTTTTACGTATTCACGTCTAAACGTATGTACTCAGGGTCTGGGGTGTGCCAGGCTCTGCGATCCAACGGCAACGAGGCCACAGTCCGTGACTTCAAGCTGCTGGTGGAGGGAGCAGCATTGAGCATCAGCTTCCAGCCCCATCACCAAACAGAGCCAACCTATGCTCAGATCAGCCAGTGCCCCTCCAGCCTCTGGACCGGGTTCCCCGGAGGGGACAGAGCAGACAGGTTAGACTGAGTGAGGGACACCTGCAGAAAGCAGCATTGACTCCACGAGCCCAGATCCCCGAAACTGCCCTTTTTCAGCAGAACTGCTTCCCCAGAGGCCCTTCCAGCCAGGCCTCCTTTTCCTTTTCCAAAGAGCCAAGGGGCAGGCAGCCATCAGCCAGGGACTGGTGCCAGCCTCCCCCACCGGGATCTGGGCAGAGAAGCAGCAAGCATTTGGGAGGAAGAACGGGGCTGGCAGTGTGGGGTGTCCCTGCGGTGCCCACTTTGCAACGTCCTGTGGAGGGGTTAGAAAAATAAAGACAGATGGCAACTCCACCTCCCCATCTGCCAGGACGTCAAGGTGGAGTGGGTAACCCAAAATGAGCAAAGTGATTTCATAAGACGCTCATGCCAGCAACGAGTTGCATAAGAAGTCCGTCCTGGAACCAACCTGCCCGACGTTCTTCTTTTCTTTTTTGACGGTGACGCCTTGCTCCTACGGGCTCCCTGCATTGATGGGCTCCTTCTCAACTTCTGAACTCAGGCAGTTACTCAATAGACACTTGTTAAGGGAAGGCAAGTCATGATGGGAAGATGGCTTTGTGTCCGGAATTCAAGACAAAGGTGCTACAGAAGAACGGGCGCTTCTCATGGCGACCCGACGCAACGTGGCCTGAGCCGGCCCCGCTTCCTCGGGCTTTCCAGTCCCGGCCACGAACGCTACAGAATGTGCTGGAACCGGGGCGCACGTGCGTGAACCACAGCAGCAGACCCTGGGGTAGCAGGGAAATGAGACCCTCCAATCATAAAGGGCAGTGACGACGACTCCCGGCACCCCAACACGCCAGCCCAGAAATGCGATGGGACTATGAAAGCACCTAGCACTGCTGCATACGTCGGGGGGCTCCATGTTTTTATAGTGGGCCTGGAAATGATCAATTGTACATTTTCACTTAAATAGAGAGAGCCAGAACGGCCCTACACAGGTTGTATGCCCCAGCCCCCAAGCACTGCTTCCTGCCGTGATGATGCTTCAGAAGTCACCCCGAGCACCTAGCTGATGAGCACTGTGGGGAGAGGACGTCAGGCTAGGTGCTGACCCAGCGAGCCTGGACTGCCGGAAACAACCCGCTCCGCCCAGTCCCGGGGTAGGAACCGGCAGTGCAGGGGAGGAGGGAACCGCGCTCAGAGACACTCTCCCCAGCCTCCTGGGTCAAGGCACAGTGGCCAAGGGAGTGGGAAGAAGCTTCCCAACCAGCCAGCATGCACCAGGCCGCACCCACTTTTAGGGGACCCAGGATCTCTATGCCTGGGGTCATGTGGGCACCCCACCCCATTCCCAGCGTGTGATGCCTCTTTGAGGGGCTGGTGGGAGTTAAGTGATGTGAGTACACCTGGTCAGCCCGTCCACTCCCCTCTAAAAATCAGCGGAAAAAATAACGTCGGGTGAGGATGAACAAAAAAACAAGTATTTTTAATTCGGTGTAGAATGGAATATATTGTGGGCACATAATGTAACTTCATTTCTCACGGACACGCTGTCTCATTCTAACAGCAATACAGATGGAACGTTTTAAAGACCAGGTTGTAGACCTGGAAGTGTCAAACAAATAATAGCCCGTGCCAGACTCCTTTGATTCCATTAATTGTGTGTGTCGGTTAGGCTACGTGCGGCTATGCTGCAGGAACAAACAGCCCCTAAAGTCTTGGGAGCATAAAGCAAAAGAAAAACATTTACTTCTCACTCACACTGCATGTCCATCGAGAATCATCGTCGACTCTGTTCCTGGACTTAGGTTGGTGAAGTAACTGCTGTCTAGAACATTGCCCAGACCCATGGCAAAGATAAAGACCTTTCCAGAGGTTCTTGGGCCACCAAACATGACAGAAGTCACTTCTTCTCACAACTCATACCCCAGACCAGTTACATGGCCAACCCAACCACACGGGAACCAAGAAGCCAGAAACGTTTGCACCAGTAACTGCCACATGGGGTGGGAGGGGAGGGCACTTCCAGAGGGCAGGTATTTGGAACTGTGTGCTTCTACCCTTGTGATCCAGTAAGGTATTTTCTGTTTATTTTACCAACAGGAAGATTGACCCAGTCCCAAAAATGACCACTCCTGAGCAATTCTATTCCAAGGTCATGGAGACTCTGAAGTATCTGAATTCCCACCTGCCAAATGGCAGCCATGTTATTTTATACGGCTTACCAGATGGGACCTTTCTCTGGGATCATCTGCACAACAGATATCATCCTCTAGGTATTGTGTTGAAGATACTGTTCCTCTTTAACAATGTCAGTGTCTATATAGCTCAAATATAGATCGTTCATATCATAGAGGAATACACCTAAGATGCCACCACCAAATCAGAAATGATAAAGGGAAGCACCCCCAGGTAGAGGATCTTGAGGTCAGTATCCAAAGCCAGGAGGGACAGAAGTATTCATTTAATGAAGAATTAAGACCAATTGAAAGATAACAGTTTAAGTCAGGAAACTCCTTTAACTGAAGTTGAAATCTCGAATGAGCTGATGAAGCCCAAACGAGACAGACAGCCTTGCATCAAAGGGCAGGAAGTCTCCAAATCTCAATGGTGAGTGCCCCCTGGTGGCCAGATCAATTGCTGTGGTCTGTGGTCCTCCAGAGGACTTGGGCCTTTGGGCTTTTGCGCCTTACCAGCTCTGACACTCTCGTGAGTCCTTGGCTCTGAAATACTTTAAAGATCCCCAGAAACGTCTAATAGCCTCACTAGCGTTCTCGATGCATTGCACTGTGAAAGTGGCAGTAATTCACATTAGGAAGGGCTGCCAGGCTGATCTCTAAAACACTCCTGTGAGAATGATGTTTTCCTTCATTCCATTTAATGGATGAAAGAAGGGAGACGCGGGAAGTTAGGTAGCTTGCCAAACACTGCATAGCTCATTGTCATGTGAGCTGGGTGTAGCACGGTTTTTCATGGAGGAGAATGTCTTAAAAAACAAAAAAATTTATTAAGTGTTTATTGTGCGCCAGGTACTGTTCAGGCACAGTGTACCCCGGAAAGCATGCCAGAGGGCGACAGGTGTCATGGGAGAAAATTCGATGGGGTGGGGGGTGCTAGGGAGCCAGCCTCCGTCCCCTCAGGCAGGCATCTGGGTGCCCTCCCCTCAACCCCACACTGGTACACCTGGGACAGTCTTTCATTATTATTATTATTATTTTTTTAATCCTCACCCAAGGACATTTTTCCATTTTTTGTTCAGGTAGAGTGGGAGGGAGAGAGAGGAACAGAGAGAGAGAAACATCGATGTGAAAGGGACACATCGAGTGGTTGCCACCCGCACAACCGACCAGGGCCGGGGACAAACTGCAACCAAGGTACGTGCCCTTAGCGGGAACCGAACCCGGGTCTCTCAGGACCGCAGGCCGACGCTCTAACCGCTGAGCCAAACCGGCCAGGGCTGGGACAGTCTTTCATTAAAGGGGCCGCCCTGCCCTGGTGCGGCCATAGCCACCTCCTTGCACCGACCCAAGCCGAAATGTGCCAGAGGTCTGAGAAGTTTCCCACGAGTCAGGTGAGCCCAGCAAAGCTGGGAGACCTGGACACGACCCCTCAGTGCCTCCTTGGGACTACTTTCCCCTCACGTGTAACGTCTCCATGTCTCTTCAGTCTCCTCTTCTCCTCCTGCACCCCCGTTTCAGCCAGCCCCCCTACCTCCCTCGGGGAGCCCCAGCCCTCCGCACACAAAAAGGGAATGGGGACCTTTTTACCAGCTCTCAAAGGGGCTCTGGGGGACAAGGGTAGACATCCCCATTCCAGGTTCCTCACCGAAGAGACTGAGGTCATTTCCTCGGCAGTTAAGAAATGGCCGCAAATGTCACTGTTATCCAAGCAAAGTGCGGTCCCGCCTCGCAGGGGGGAAGCGTGTTCCTCCTGTTCATGGGGCTTGGACCGTGCCCGAGACATGACTGTGTGGTCACCTGTGGAGGACTTGACTCCATTCTGGGCCGCCGCGGACACTCCAAGGGCAAGCTCACGGGCGGAGATGGCTCTGGGAGCCACCGGCGATGAAAACCGCAGCGCCCCCTAAAGATGTTCTTAGATCCCTGATCTCTCCGCGCTCCGGGGGGCCTGGGGCCGGGATGCTGGGGGCGGGGAAGGTGCGCTTTGCGTCACACCCATCAGGGCTTGACCTTGCGTTTTCTGACACAACCCATTCCCTTTCCACAACTCCGGTTAGACTACCTCCATACATTTTCAGGTAGCCACACTTGTCACTTGACTGAACCGCAGCACGTAACAGGGACTCCATGAAATTTGGAAGGAAGCAAGAACGCACGTGATTGGGGAACTCGCTGGTCGCTTTGAAGGCTTCCCGGGGCCACTGGTTCTCACTCAGAGGCAACCCTCTCACCCCACCCCCTATCACAACTGCAGAGGGGTAGAATCCAGGGATGGTCCTAAATAGGGCAGCCCCCCCCCCCCAAGACTGTTCAAGGTGGAGACGCCTGCTCTGGGCTCTGCCTCGTCCTCAAACGGCCCCTCCAGCTGCTGATCACACAAAAGAAGGGAAAGGTGCAGAGCGTGTTCTCTATAAACCCTTGGTTTTTAAAAATCCAGTTAGGGAGAAGTTGAAACCCTCAAAAATGTGTTTAATGTTTTTAAGCTATTATTCATTTCCTAAATTATCCCTGCTGCCTGGTTGCCATGGAAATAAATTATAAATTCCTCAATGGAGCATCAGGGTCCCTCCTAGACAGACTAGGGAAGTGGGTGGGACTTAGGCAGCGTTCCCCTCCCCCCTTCGGCGGGCGCAGCTCACACAGCACGAGAGGCTTGTCAGAGGGTCCGTCCTGCTCCTGCTCCTGGCCAACCTTTGGGTCTTTGTTCCCAGGTTAATGACCGGCCAACCTCTGCGTGTGGTTGCTCTGCTAGGTTAGGATGATCTCATCTTTTTTTTTAATTTTTTTTTTATCCTCACCCGAGGACATTTTTCCATTTTTTTGTTCAGATAGAGTGGGGGGTGGGAGGGAGAGGGAGAGGGAGAGAGAGAAACATCGACGTGAAAGGGACACATCAAGTGGCTGCCACCCGCACGACCAGCCAGGGCTGGGGACAAACTGCAACCGAGGTACATGCCCTTAGCGGGAACCGAACCCGGGTCTCTCTGGACCGCAGGCCTACGCTCTAACCACTGAGCCAAACTGGCCAGGGCATGATGCTCTCATCTTAATAGCAGAACACCCTCGTCGGATCCCCTCCCACCCCCGGCACCGTACTCAGGGTTGTGCACGCAAATAGGGAGGGTTTTTCCATTTATTTCGGTCTTCGAGCCCAGAAACATGGTGTACTATCTAGACTTGACTGCAGCCAACTGTAAGGATAGGAAGGGGTTTGGAAGCGGAGGGGCCGGGGAATTACCCCTGGACCAGTGAGCACAGTCTCTGCTGCCTCGGTAGGACAGGCAGGAGCTCAGCCTGGCCATTCGGCAAAGCGAAGGCTAAAGGCCACAGCATCGGATCAGCGGGATGGAGGCCCAGAACACGAGTGGGTTCCCGGGAGGAGGGCATGATGAGCCTCCAGCATCTGTCTTCTTCAGCCATGCTGGAGGGTCACTGCGAAGTCTGTGTCTGGCTGCCAAGGGCTGGGATAGCCCTGCAGTCTCTACCAGCGATTAAAATTCCTAGAGAGAACGTGTCCTTTGGAGGAATTGGGAGAGACTAAGTCTCACACATTAGAAGGCTACTTACTCAGAACTTTCCGGAGGTCAGCGCTGACCAGGGATGAGGCCTGTCAGGCAGAGCCCCCGAGGAAGGCAATCTCCAGGAACATGTCTGAGATGCCTACAATGATACGAAGATGGAGTCTTTGTCTCCAAGGAGACAGAAAAGACAAGTCCACTGGGGAAAACAGAATGTAGACCCTGACAGTGAGGCTACTAAGTGTGTGTGACACTGGTATAAGCCAGAGGCAACCTGGGAGCTGTCTGCAGGGTCGCACTCGGTCCAGGAGTCCGGGATTGCCGGCCATCCTTAGAGCTGCACCTCTGCCGCAAAATGTCAACAACAACTTCATTTTACCCCAATTACTCTTCAACTTAAAACATAGCTTGTTTTCAAATACATTGTCATAGCCTCGCCGGTGTGGCTCAGTGGATTGAGCGTTGTCCCATGCACCAGGAGGTCACCTGTTCAACTCCTGGTCAGGGCACGTGCCGAGTTGCAGGCTCGATTCCCAGTAGGGGGTGTGCAGGAAGCAGCGATCGATGCTTCTCTCTCATCAATATTTCTATCTCTCCCTTCTACTCTCTGAAATCAATTTTTAACAATATTAGAATATATTGTAGTATACCCTATATTTTATTACTGGCTTCCTCCCTATCTAAATTAATGTGTTTTTACTAAGATTTAATACCCTAAGTGGTATTTCACGGAGACATGATTGATCTTTGTTGAAACTAAGCTTTTATGATGCCTAACATTTCAATTATGGTCCCTGCATTAAATAAATACCAAAGACCCTGCCCTGAAGAATGACAAATGACCGAGACGCTAACTGCCACTCTAGCCAGCTGGAGCAGAACCCGCCCTCTAACCCTCAGGGGGCGTGGGTGGCATCCACGGGCCCCCACAGGCTCCCCACCTACTGATGGTTCCTCAGCCCTCACCATTCCTGGGCGCCGAGGGACCGTCCTTCTGCCCTGGCCTGGTCACTGCTGACCAGCTTCCTGCCCCAGGATCACTCTCGGACGAGGGCGTCACAGACACTGCCTCTGTGCAGGTCGGGCCTGTGGGAGGAGCAGTCTCCGTGCCTCAAGCGCAAAACCGTGGAAGTGAGAGGGACGCGAGGTGATTCCTAACCAGAAAGGGGCAATGACCAACTGACCCTGCCAACAAGGACAAAAGCATCAGAACAACTTTGCCTCTGCTCTTTCTTTAAGCCGTAAGCGCATCGAAAGCACTCCCAACTGCCCCTCCACAGGACCAGCCTCAGAGTCCCCCGACCCCCGACTAGGCCGAGAGACCAGACAGAAGGGAAACCAGCTCTCGACACCGTTCCCGGCTCCTTTCCCGACACCTAAGGAGCCTTTATCCCGCTCAGCAGACCCGCCTGCTCACACTAGGATTCTCCCTTTATCAACCTGGTCCGGCGGAAGCCAGCGCCAGAATGACAAGGCAAGGGACAGAAACTGAGACAAGGCTCAGAAGGGGGACACACCTGTGGTCTCATCCTAAGGTGCTCTGGGAGCTCAGAGGAAGACCCCAGGAAGCGGGGACTAGGCCAGGAAGAAATGAGACTATGGCTGGGCTTAGCCCCCAAACGGGGAGCCAGCAGATGAGCCCCCAGGATCCAGGAGCTGGACCAACTCCAGTCCCTCTGGGCACCGGAGCTATCCAGGCTTGGCGGTAAAAGGGGGGTGCAGAGCGCTGTATGGTCAGGCATGACGGTCACCTCCCTCAGGTGGAAAGACTTCCGCCACTGAGCGGGGTAAGCAGACAAGACGCCTCTTAGGGAGACCCCCTCCATCAGGGCCGAGCTGGGGGTCAGGGTCCCAGCCAAGCTACCTGAGGTTGATCACCAGGCCACAGTTTCAACAAAGAAACAGATGACAGAGGGAAGGCTGCGGCCCAGGGGCCGTCCCAGCACAGGGCCACAGCCAAGTCACTGGGGCGCACGGAGGGTTCGGAGGATCATGGGTGCAGAGTGGAGGCGGGATGTGTCCGTCACTGCAGCTGGGCGGGGCTGGGACGGGCAGGGACACATACAGAAAGGAAACAGGTTACAAAATCACAGACACACACAAAAAAATAGAGGTGCGGCTGGTGTGGCTCAGTGGTTGAGCATCGTCCCATGGACTGAGAGGTCCCGTCAGGACATATCCCTGGGTTGGGGCTCGATCCCCAGTAGGGTGCATGCAAGAGGAAGCCGATAGAGGTTTCTCTCTCACATCAGTGTTTCTTTCTCTCTCTTTCCTCCCTCTCTCTAAAAAAAATTAAAAAAAAAAAATCAATAGAAACATGTTTTAGAAATAGAGGAAAAGAAGCCCCAGTGGTGGAAAGAGGGATCTTGGAGAAAGTTGGGGCTCAGGGCTCCATGTTGATACCAGAAAACCAAAGCAACGCCCGCGGTTTGGGATTCGTCTCAAACGCCGAGACACGGACGCCGGTGGGGACGGCGAGGGCCGGCATGGTCCCTGACTGTGATGGTGATCGCACGCATGTGCGTCTCCCGTCTTGGACAGACAGAGAAATATTACATTTTTCCTCTATGACAAGAAGATTGAATCTATCTTTCAGTCTAGCTGATCTGAGGTATAAGTGAAAAATAAGACTTCCATCACTCTCCATCTCTCTCTTCGCGCTGAGATGGGGCCTATTATTTTCCTTTATTTTTCCGAGCGTGAGGGAAGTGTGAATGAATGCGACATCAGTCATTGCCCCTGAGATCTGGGAGGGCCTGGGCTTTGTGTGTCAGCCACAGCATAAAGTATGATTGCCTCTGGGAGTGGGTATGCTGTAAGGGGGAGGAGAGGGGATGCGTGTGAGAATAACCCCCCAGATTCTGCGTCTGCAACCAGTGTTTACAGAGGCTCTGAGCTCCCACTTGGCACCCATCACCTTGACTCCTAGGTACCCTTCTGACTTGCACCAGAAAATAAGTGTGGAGCATATCTACTCTTGAGGGCTCAAGTAGGATGCCCTGGGCCGTGCAGGTATATGGGACACTGGCCCACCCCCTTCCAGGGGCCGCCCAAGCTCTTTGGGAGGCCTTCAGTTGGCCAAGCTGCAGGGCAGTGCATGGTGAGCGCTCGGACTCAGATTGTCCTCCCGGTCCTCACCAGGGTAACTGAGTCAGGACGGTATGTCAGCTCCCGCCCTGAGCGCTCCTTGTGCCCCCGGGAAGTGGGCACTTCACACCCTTGCCAGCAGAAAGCCGCTGCTCGGCCAAGTCCACCGTGAGTGATGCTCTGGTTGGTGCGGTGCCCTTGCACCCATCCACCTGGGTCCCGCAGGCCCTGCCCTGGCCCATGCCAACAGCTCGAGAAGGAAGTAGACTCCTTAAGGCCCCTCCCTAACTCCAGCTCTGGATCCCCAGGGGCTCAGAGAGGAAGGAAGCACAGGCATTCTTCAAGAGCCAGGCCAGCGGAAACACCAGGCAGGTCCCTGGAGGGCTCAGCCTTCTGCAGGCTCACCCCTGAGTTCCCCGTTGGCTGTCAGATCCAGGCCCACGCAACACCCCGCCCTGTCTTCCAGGCCAGCTGAACGAGGACGTGACCTACGAGCGGTTCTACACCTTCCTCGGCTGCCTGCAGGTGAGCCAGCACCGACTTGTCCGCGCGCAGTCCCCGCGCCACCCGCTGGTCCTCGGTAATCAAGGTGTCTCCCTGCTCTCAGGTCAGCTCCTGCCACGGCTGGATGTCCTCCAACAAGACCCTCCGGGCTCTCACCTCGGAGGTAGGACTGCGGCAGGCCCTTTGGGGTCATTCTGGCCCTGCGTTTGCTGCTGGGACTTCACTGGGGATGGGACGCGGGCCAGGTGCCAGGCTCCAAGCTGGTGAATAGAAACATCAGACGTCCGGGGGCTTGAGGAGTTGAGGGGTTGCGGGGTGCCCTGTCTCTTTCCTTCTGCCTCCTCTGGGTCTGTCGCTCTCGTTGTGTCTGTCAGTCACTTTCTCGGTGCTTGGGTCTGTCTCTCTCATATGCACATATGCGTGTACGTGCACATGCGCACCCCTTTGCAAGCCAGTCCTGGGCACATGTGCAGAGGTGGAGAGAGGTGAGGGAGGTGAGGCTCTCCGTATGAGTTCCCCCAAGTTCACGGGGGACCCTTGCTCCAGAGCATCTTTCTCCCCTCGGCGGGAACCGGCGGTTCATGCGCTTCTTTCACAGACACAGAATCATCTCTTTGTAGAAGACTTAATGAACTCTTTGTACAAATATACTCCCATTTTTTTAAAACCTTGGAGAATGTTAAAAAAAAAAAAAACACAAAGAACATTAACAAAAATCACCCCAAATCTCAGCGTGTTTCTGATCTTACCTTCATAGATGGGTATTTCTGGTCTTCGCCTACACAGTATCAGAATTCAGAGGCTGTTTTGTGCCTTCTGAAGTCCATCAATTATTTCTCCACATCCCAGTGTCGTCATTATTTTAGAGTGCACAGCGCATGAATGGACCATGATTTATTTCATCCCTTGGAGTTGGACATACAGGTCATATGGGTTTCCAATTTTTCACTGTGATAAATAGCACTGTGATGAACCTCTGTGTGTGTGTGTGTATGTGTGTGTGCGTGTGTGTGTGCCATTTTCTTAAGATGAATTTCTAGAAAAATGATTGAGTCAAAGAATATGTCATGCTTAAGGATTTGATCCACCTCACTGAATTGCTCTCTAGAAAGGTTAAACAAATTGACTTTCTGGATCCCCTCTGCCCGGGCACCATTCTGCATTATCATGACTGTTCATCTTTTCTTCACCAACCCCACAGGGAAAAGTGGTATCTCATTACTTTAATTTGTGCTGATTTGGTTCCTAATGAAGTCTAACAGTTTGTACGCTCGTTGGCCATGTGTCGAATAGGATGTAATGTGCCGCGCGGCTCTGTGCGGAAGGCTGGGAGCCGGGGCGGGGGCCCGTCCGTGTCTTTGTCCTGTCTGAATCCGCTCACTAAAACCAAGGTCTAGATTTCACGAAATTCTCCGTTTCCTTTGTATGCAGAGAGCAGAACAACTCTCCAATATCCTGAAAAAGATTGCAATCAGCAAGAAATTTACGAACTTGGATCTTCTCTATGTGGATTTTGATCTCCAAGCAGGTGAGAGCTGTTTGGCTTGGGCAATGGAACAGACAGAAACAGCGGCCACCACTCAGAGCCTGCCCCCGCCAGGGGCGACCCGCGGGCCGAGACTGGACAGGGTCTCTCCTGCCCGTCCCCCACACGAAGGGCTCTAGTACTGAAATAAGATAAAGGGTGACCCCATTCCTGGAAAACGCCTTGGCAGAGAGCCAACAGGTCCGTGGCATCCTTTGTTCTTGCCCGCAGAGCGATGTCCTGCTTCCCCCTGGCTAAAGAGGAGCGTGCCAGGGATGAGGGCTAAGGCAGTGCCTCTCATGGTGGGCACTGAGCTACCTAGGGACTCAGTAACAATGCTGAGTCCCAGGCCCTGCGCAGCAGAAACTAATCAGGGTCTCTGTGGGAGGGACCTCAGAGTTGCCTGTGGCAGAGTGAACCACCCCATCCCAGCTTCCTGGAAAGAACATTAGTATTTCTCTGCTAGCACTCTGTCCAAACACAGCGGTCCCTGAGGGGTGGCACCAAGAAACAGGCATGATTACTGGAGCTACGGATTTCTCCTTGACACCTTGACCCTGAAGACTTATTGGCTCTAATCCTGCAGTCTCATAGTCATTGCTAAGCATTTGCTGTACAGGAGAAAAGCCTCCTGTTGATTGACGGCCCTCTGAGATGATGCTAATGAAAAGCTTTGCAGGGTACGTGAAGGATGGCCCATTTCTCCTCCAGAGATTATCATCTCTACCTCCCTCGCACCCCCCCCCCAGCCCAAGCAGCCAGGGAAGAGCAGATGGCCATCATGAATTATCACAGATTACATTAGCTGACACGTTCTGCGTTGCAGAGTCGAGTATTTCAATTCTGAACATCTTTTCAACAAGACGGATCGCCCCTAACTAGATTTCCTGCCTAGGTGATACATATTTCTCTCATGGGGAGAGACATTTTGATAAATTACCTCTCATTAAAATGCAGAGCTAAAGTCTCATTAATGAATTCCTGCTGTAAACAAATATACCGCCAAGTGATCTTTGATTATCATCAACCTTGAACATAGATAAAGTTATTCAAAATATAATCATGTCTAACGTGCACAGAGGACTTTTCCATTTTCCATGGTAGCCTCCAGCTCTGTGCTTTATCATCTTTGGGATCATGTCTAAGCGCTGCCTTCCAGTCCTGAAAACGAAAGACCACACCTACGTAACAAATCTCTGTGACGATTACAGGACAGACGTGTGATCCCCCTGAATGCCATGCCTGGGTCACTACTGGTCCCCAGGAAAGAGGACCATTTTCCTCACACCCTTGCTGCCCAAAGTGTGGTTTGGGATGAGTCGTATCCACTGCACTGCGGGCTACTTATAGATGAGGAAGCCCAGGCTCTGCTCCTAATTGGGGCCTAGGAATCTGAATTTTAGCACAATCCACAGATGATCGATGACACATTGAAATTTAGTAAGTGGGGCTTACACTGTGCCCAAATTAAGGACGTTAGTCAGTCATCGGGTTTTTACCAAGTCCTGCTACGCGCTGTGTAGGTGCTGGGAATACAGCTGTCAGCAAAGGAGAACAGTCCTTATCTTCATGAAGCATCTAGGCAGGAGAGCGGAACCCTCACCCCAGAACTGGCCAGCACTCCAGGGATGACCTAATGCTCGGAAGCAGAGGTCATTAGCCCCTTCTTGTCCTCACAGCAGTGATAAATGCAATAACAATATATATATATATTCAGGGGAACTGAACATTCTCAACCAAACGGCAGTAACTTAACGGAGAAACCTCCCTGGCTTCTCCTCACCTGGCACTTCTCATCAGCAGTTCGAGGACATTCCTGAGATGTGGTCATTCCCTGACAAAAACAAATGGGAAGATTCCGTCTGGGCACAGGGCCTCGTTCGCCTTCTCCACATGAGGCTGGCGAGCAAGGCACCAGGAAGACACAGAGACCCGGTGGGAAGGAGCGTGGAGGCAGAAGGACGCTGCCCCAGGACCTGCCCCGTGACCATCTGATGCGGCATCGTGCATTTAACATCCAGGGGCCTCCGTGTCCACTTCTGAAAGAGCTGGGATTTTTATCGCATTTTCGGGAACTGTAGTAAGAACTTGACTTACACCCCAAGTTTGACTACTACAAAGGGAATTTTTACCTCGAAATCCTAGCATTTTCCAGCACAGGCTGAAAAATCATCCACACCTAAATCCGTCTCTGTGGGTGACCCTCAACCTGCGCAGCTCACAGCCTGGAGATCTGGTCTACCTCGTGCGGGGAAAATGTGCTATTCCAGGAAAAGGCCAGAATCTGCAGCCAGATAGAACCGTGTTCCAATCCCAACTCAGACCCAGATCAACTGTAACCTGGAGCAAACTGAGTAAGCACACAGCTTTGCTTTCCTTTTGTGTAACGTAACAGTAACAAAGGGTGGAGCCCGCACATGTAGGAGTAAGGACTCAGCAACAGTTGCGACGCCCTCCCACCACCACCGTTACCAGTGTATGTAAAGCACCTGCTCGTCTTCCAGGGCTCAGGACACATGGAGAATAGATGTTCATTCTCTCTCAGTGTACAACTCACTTCCCATCGCTGCGCCTGCCTGTGGTCCACGCGGAGGCCCTTAGAGATGCCTTGGTCGCAGTGCATCTCATCATCACGGCAGTGTCCTTTATGACAAATAAAGACCCGATAGAGTCACTTAGCAAATCTGCAGTCTTCAGGGTCGCACGAAAATCTCTCCTTCTTGTACTCTGTTTGAACTGGCTGTGGCATCATCGATATCCTCTTGTTTAATATGGAATTCACCATTTCACACCCTGTGACAGGAAAGGGACTTGCAGAGATGGACTGCAGCCGCACGTCACGCCCAAGGAGGTCGTCACCAGCCCACAGGAGCTACAAAGTGTCAGGTCCACAGGGAAAGGCTGAGCAGCCAGAATTGAAGCTGAAGGAGAAAGTCTGATTCCAAGGTCTTGCCTTTAAAAACAAGCAGAACAGCCCCGTCTGGTTTGGCTCAGCGGTTAGAGTGTCGGCCTGCGGTCCCGAGAGACCCAGGTTCAGTTCCTGCTAAGGGCACATACCTCGGCTGCAGTTCATCCCCGGCCCTGGTTGGTCAGGCGGGTGGCAGCCACTCGATGTGTCCCTTTCACGTCAATGTTTCTCTCTCTCTCTTCCTCCCACTCTATCTGAACAAAAAAAAAGAAAGAAAGAAAGAAAAAAAAAAAAACAAGCAGAACAGCCTGGCCGGTGTGGTTCAGTGAATTGAGCACTGTCCCATGGACTGAGAGGTCCCGGTTCAATTCTTGGTCAGGGCACATGCCTGGGTTTTGGGCTTGATCCCCAGTAGGCAGCCAGGAGGCAGCCAATGGATGTTTCTCTCTCAGATCAATGTTTTTCTCTCTCTCTCTCAAAAAAAAATCAAAATAAATATTTTTTTTAAAAAACGGAACAGCCAGGCACGCTGGAGACAAAGCCAAGCCAGCTTCCCCAGGGCTCCGCCTTCCGCAGGGTACCAATGGCCAAGGGCAGGTGTTGCCGTCTGCAAGCTGGCTCCGCAGAATAAGCCTTCACGAAGGCGTCTGTGGTTTCAACACCAGTCCAGCTCCGAGCTTCCCATCAGAGGAGCAGACCTGCCCGTGTATCAGAACGAAGCAGTTTCTCCCCCAGGACTCCATGCGGAGAACACAATGGACATTGTCCTCAACTTGAGTTTCCCAGGAAATGGAAAGGCCCCCTTCCAATAGCTGCTGCTCCTAACAGCCTCAGTAGAACCCAGAGGCGGTGGCCATGCAGCCAGGGAAGAAGCCAGCAGCATCGGGGATCCAGTGTAGGGGGCTACAGCCCACCGCAGAAATTTTGTCCTGAGCTCCGAGAAGGACGACGGGATCCGCAGCCCTTCTGGGGACAGGGGTTGGGCAGCGGGTGGGGACAGCATGCTGTGATGAGGACTAATTACAAACGCAGCCGAGTAGCGATTCAGCCCTGAGAAGGCCCAGCTCCTTTGTCCAGTCAAAGCCCCCAGTAGAAAGTCCATTCCTCCCCTCGGGGCAAGAGAGGGAGAGACGAGAGCGGGATGGAGAGGGAAGAACTGGAGGGGTCTCGGCTCTGCCTGCGCCCCAGTCTGGCATCAGGGAGGTGAGGACATGGGCCACCCTGGGGCAGCAGGTTTCCTATTGTTCTCCCTGGAGGCCCTCCGAGGACTTGGTTTCCTTCCGGTGCTCTTAGGCATGACATCACAGGGCAGGCTCCAGAGCCGCAGACCTTCCCGGCCTCTCCCTGACGAAGGGCAGCTTTATTGCTTTCGTCACATAGCTCTCTGCAGGCTCACCGTGCACGCAACACTGAGGTCGCTCTGCGTCACTGTGCTTCCCATGACCTGTGGGCTTTCGTGGTACTGACACGCCGGGCCTGGCCTGGACGGGGCGGCTGTGAGAGGCTTCGCTCCCCTCCGGCGATGCTGTCCCGCTGGCCCAGGAAGTGAGCTGGACTTCAGTGGGTGCCGAATGTTCTAGAGCTCACCGCGCCTCACACACAGACCACTGGGTCTGACACTCGCACGCGGTCTTGCTGGGTTAGGAAGACAGCATCGCTCAACCCGAAGATGGTTTCTGCCCCGGAAGCCCCAGCCCCAGAGGCCCGCCCGCAGGCAGCCGGGTGGGGGGCCTGGGCAGGGAGGGGGGGCAGCCAGGTGGGGGGCCTGGGCAGGGAGGGGGGGCAGCCGGGTGGGGGGCCTGGGCGGGGGGGGGCAGCCGGGGGGGGGGGGGCCTGGGCTGGGGAGGATGGGGGGGCAGCCGGGTGGGGGCGCCTCAGCGGGGAGGGCTGGGGGACAGCCGGATGGGAGCGCCTCGGCGGGGAGGGGGGGGCAGCCGGGTGGGGGCGCCTGGGCGGGGAGGGCGGGGGCAGCCGGGTGGGGGGCCTGGGCGGGGAGGACGGGGGGGGGCGGGACAGCCGGGTGCGGGCGCCTGGGCGGGGAGAGCGGCGGGGGGGTGGTCAGTGGGGGGGGGGCGCCTCGGTGAGGAGGGCTGGGGGCAGCCGGGTGGGGGGCCTGGGCGGGGAGGGCCGGGGCGGTGCAGGAGGACCAGGGGCCTGGGCGGGGAGGGCCGGGGCGGCGCAGGAGGACCCGGGCGGCGCAGGAGAACTGGGGGCAGCGCAGGAGGACCGGGGCGGCGCTGTCCGCACTTTCAGTCCTTGGTCTGACCCGGCTCACGTGTGCCCGCAGTCATGAAGAAGTGGCAGAAGAGAGGCGGGCAGCCCTGGCAGCTCATCGAGCCCGTCGATGGATTCCACCCCAACGAGGTGAGTGTGGTCACACAGGGGTTGCCGAAGGCCACGTGTGAGGTTACTTTTTAAAATAGAATTACGTGCCCTGGCCGGTTTGGCCCTGCGGTTAGAGCATCGGCCCACGGACCAATGAGTCGCAGGTTCAATTCCAGTCAAGGGCACGGACCTCGGTTGCAGTCAGGCTCTGGTTTGGGTTGTGCAGGAGGCGGTCAGTTGATGTGTGTCTCTCACATCGATGTTTCTCTCTCCGTCTCTCCATCTCTCCCCCTCCCTCCCACTCTGTCTGAAGATAAATAAAAAAATATCCTCACCCAGACGGTGTGGCTCAGTGGTTGAGCATCCACCCCTGCACGAAGATGTCACTGGTTCGATTCCCGGTCAGGGCACATGCCCAGGTTGTGGGCCCAATCCCCAGTGGGGGACATGCAGGAGGCGGCCCATTGATGTTCTCTCTCATCAATGTTTCTCTCTCTCTCCCTCTCCCTTCCTTTCTCTCTAAAAATTAATAAAGAAAAAAAATTTGAAAAAAAAACATATCCTCAGGTGAGGATTTAAAAAGAAAAAGTACAGTGAAAATCAGAGTCAGAGGAAAGGAGGGAGGAGCGAGGCCTGGCTGCTCGACTTTGCCCACAGTTGGCGTCAGGGGACAGCAGGGAAGTCCTGAGAGATGCCAGAGAGAGCTCATGAGCCCTGGGCTTCCCAGGGGCCGATGCAGACAGGCGCGGTCGCCGCCTCCGTAACATAAAAGACGTCAAACACACACACAAAATCACACGGATTCCTGAGAGCGAGACCTGGGAGAAACCCCTTCTATGGATCCTTCTAGAAAGGACGTGGTGAGAGGAAAGCAAGGGGAGCTGGGCCCCACCCCGTCCAGCAGCCTGGCCTCGGCCAGGGAAGCTCCGCTTTGATCTGTCACGCACCCTGGACTGACTCGTGACATTCCTTTATTTTAAAGTAATAGTCAAAGAAGAAGTAGAAGGGACGTAGCTCCGCCGGCTTCAAATTCTGAAAACGGGGGGCCTCCACAGCGCCAGTCTTTCTGGCTCAGCCTGCGGTCAGGAGGGCGGTGACCAGGGTCCAACCTGAGTGCTGTCAGAGTCCCCCTGGTGTCCTTGGCCTCGGTGGTCAGCCAGGCCACTGGGAGGGGCTGTCATCCCTCAGGAGTCTGACTGGAACACCGCCCGCCTCCCCCAAGCCCCAGAACGAGCCGCCGCAGGGCTAACAGAGGAAGGACAGTGCCACCCTGACGACGGGGGAATGGACAGCGGCGTCCCACAAATGCCGGGGAATTTCACAGTGAGTATCAAATGCCCATCTCACCAAGAACCCAAGCTAAACTGATCTAAGCAAAGCATCTCAGAACAGCTAACTGTCCTGTGGACCTTGTGGATAAGTTGATCCAAGAGAAATTTTGGCTAGAAGCTAGTTAAGTATTTTAGAGCCTGCCCCCCTTCCAAAAAGATGATGTCTTCGGTTTTAGAATAGCCAACATGGAGACCTTCTTCCCGGCGATAATGAGGCAGTGGTCTGCCATTCTGGTGCCCAATAGAATGGTACCCTTCCGGTCGGACAGAGAAAGGGGATATGAAGAGATGACCAGAGAGGGAGTTCATTAAGGACAAACTAAATAGAAGAGGATTGAAGAAGCTTTGTCTTATCCCTTGGGACATATTGGTCTGATCCATCAAACATAAAAATAAACGCCCTGCCCCTGGCTTCGAGGTCTGTCTCACTGGAGCTCCGTCTTACGCTCAGACAGCTGCACCCATAACTGGTGGTTGAGAACAGAGTCAGAAGCTGAAACCCAGCATCATCCCCGAGATGCGTGCCCATGCTGGCGGTGGGCGAGAGAGCGGGCGCGGTGGGCAGCCGCAGCGGACGTGGTGACAGTGGACAGCAGCCCCCGGAGCCTGCCTAGTCTTCATGGCTATTGAGCTCAGCAGTCCAGACTGCAGCTTGTCGTCTAAAAATACTTACTGAGTGCCCACCCGTGGCTAACGCCTGAGACTCGAGAGGGAAGGAGAAGCCGCCCCGCGCTTCGGGAGATCACAGTGCAGGGTGACAGGGTGACGAGCCCGCGCAGTGACACAGAGCACACGCCTCCGGCTGGCAGCGCAGGTGCCCCAGGGCACATGGGACGGGATGGAGGAGGGCATCAGGAAGACCGCGAACCAGGCAAGCGAGGAAGGAGGGAGGGTCACAGACGTGCTCCTCCGCACACGCCCAGACCCGGGCGTGGAAAAGGCACGGCGCGGGGAGGCTATGGCAGCGCGTCTGGAGCGTCTGTCAGGGGCGCTGGGAGGGAGGAGGCAGGAGCAGTACTCTGTGCCCAGCCACACAAGCTCTGGAGGGGGTTCGACCTTTCCCCTGGGGCAGCGGAGACCCGCTGATGGTTTTTTTCAATCCTCACCTGAGGGTATTTTTCCATTTATCTTCGGGTAGAGAGGGAGGGAGGGAAAGAAAGAGGGAGAGAGAGAGAAACATCAGTGTGAAAGAGACACATCGACTGGTTGCCTCCATCATGACCCCCACCAGGGCCGTGAAGAACCGCAACCGAGGCACGTGCCTCTGACCGGAATCGAACCCACGACTCATGGGTCCACGGGCCAACACCCTAACCACTGAGCAACACCAGCCAGGGCCCACTGATGGTTTTTACGCAAGAAAGAAACCTAACGAGGCTTGTGGTCTAAAAAGATACCAATGGTAGCAGCGTGGAGAACGGTTTGGTGTGGGCCAGTCCAGAGGGAAGGGAACGGGGGGCGGGGGGTTAATGAGAGAGAGACTGATGGCCGGAACAAAGGTAGTGGGGAGGGGAGAGGAAAGGTTTGTGTTGCAGAGACTCAGACAGTTCGAGCAACAGAACGTCGTCACCTCCTGGCTGTGTGGGTGCGACACTCCCGTTATGACTGGGGCCTTGGACAGATGACTCCACTGCCCACTGAGGGCGAGAACACGGGACGGGTGCTGTGAGGAGGAGCTTGGCACATGCTGGGTTTAAGGAGCCTACAGGATGTCCAAATGGGATGTCCTTTCGGCAGATATACACACGCCCTGAGCTCAGGAGAAGATACAGAAGTGAGCCCCGTCGGGACAGGCTTGAGACCTGAGGCCCTGCAGAACCTCCATGTCCCTGCACACGCCCCTCGGGATGCCCGGCCTTGGGGCAGAGGCAGTGCTAATGCATCGTCTGTGCCAGTGGTTCTCCACCTTCCTGATGCCGCGACCCTTCAGTACAGGTCCTCAGGCTGTGCTGAACCCCAACCAGAAGATTACTTTCGTTGCTACTTCATAACTGTGATTTTGCTACTGTTATGAACCACCATCGGAAATATGTGTTTTCAGATGGTCTTAGGCAACCCCTGTGAAAGGGTCGTTCAACCCCCAAAGGGGTCGTGACCCACAGGTTGAGAACCACTCTAGACCATGGGGCAGCTATTGGAGTCCACATATCTTCCATCTTGAAAAGTCCCAATGGCCAAGGTTGGCCTCAGGACCTCATCCTAGGCACAGACATAATGCCAACCAGAGGAGCTGCCTCGGACCCCTTCACGTGCCCTCACCAATCCCGGCACCTCTGCCACAACGAGCTGGTGCGGGCCCCTCACCACCCACAGGTGAGCAGGCTGTATCGCGTCAGCCTGTTTCTTCCGAAACCCTGCCCGAGAAGCAGACGATGTCAACTACTTACTATCGGCCCAACTGCTCCAATTGTTTTAGGGAGAGCTCAGTAAATATAAACATGGGCCGTGTGGAACCATTCAAATTTAGGATTTATACATGATCATTTTTAAGCCAAATTATACCCACTATCTCAACCCTGCTTATATGCTCATGGAAAATAGACAAGCATAGAAAAATTCCCAGTATACAGGCACGGGACCTGCAGAGACATGCCAGAGACCGTCAGATGTGGACATACCCGAGGAAGGGCCACATGTGCCCCAAACGGCCGTGGCGTCTGGACAAAAGCAGACCGCCCATGTGGCAGCTGTCTGGACCGTACAGCCAGGCCCTGCGAGAATCATCTACAGAGGACGAGACCTGAAGGGCCTAGCTCAGGTGACCAGAAGATCTCACTTAACCGCACCCCTCCATTCCGCAGCGTTCTGCTGGACCGGGGCTCACCCCTGCACATGCGTAGCAGGGTTAGCGAACGAGGCAGCCCATGAACCCCTCCCGTGCATCAGCGGGGGGAAAGCTGTCTCCATCCCTGGTCCCCAGGACAAGCCCAAGGGAGAGGTGTGGCAAACATCTCCGCTAGAAAAATAAATTCACTGGCATCCATCCAATAAAATACAGCGCGGTGAATAAAAGCGATACTGATCTACCTTTCGTGACACAGAAATATGTTTGCAGTAAGAGCCAAGTAAATAGTAGCCGATTAAAGATTGTGGGGATGCTTACTCAACTCTGCGCATTCGTCAACACTCACGGAACTGTTCACCAAATAGAGTGAGTTTTACTGTGTGTCAATTATACTGCGGGTAAAAAGAGAAGATTGTAAAACGGTGTTTACAGAGGGATCCAGTGTGTGTGTGTACGCGTGCGCGCATCAGAAAGACTCTGGGCCCAGTGGTAATCGTGTCCATCTCTATTATAATTGCAAGTTACTTTTATTCTGTTTTTCTCTTTTTGCTTTCCTGTCTTTTTCAGTTGTCCTCCAATGAATAGGTCTTGCTTTACTGTTTTGAACTATGAATAAGAAAGCATGAAAGCTGTTTGTGTTAGAGGAACGGCTCGTTTGCAGTGAGGAGAGTCGGGGGTGGCCGGCCTTGCGCCCTGGGTGGTGGGAGTTACAAGAGGCCGGTTCTCAGATCCCCCAGCAGGTGCCCAGTGAGATGGTTCTGAAATGAATGACTGAGTATAGTGGGTCTTCTTCTCCCCCGTCTCTGGTCCAGCAGTAGCGATGCCACTCTCATTTCAGACTCACTACATTAACAGTGCACACTCATAAATATTTAAATCTCCGCGAGAGTGACAGCCAACGAATTGCTTTCAAACCAAACAGCTGCCACGTGCTCAAATCCGAGCTCTGTCATTGAACCTCCTTCATCTCATCCTGACCCCGCCTCTTCCCTTGTTAATTTAGATTGGGAAACCACTGATCACGGACGCCTTGGCACTACACAGTTGTTAGGAAGACAGCTTCTGTGTATCTATCGAGTGGAAAGGCAAGAAAGAAGAAGGAACAACCAGTCGCCTTCTCCAGACCTGGCAACAGCCCCCTTTGTTAAGAAATAGCAGGGAAAACAGCCACAGGACCAGTCCTCTGTCTTCAAAGACACTGGTGGGCCCGTGTGAGAGATGCTCAGACCCTTCCCAGAAACCTGCCGGCTAGACAGACAGACAGACAGACAGACTGTGTGTGTGTGTGTGTGTGTGTGTGTGTGTGGTGTTAGACACCACATGGATATGGCTGGAATTTGGGGTCCACCTCCGCAGACTCAGAAACATAGTAATACACTGGGGATCCTTCATGCAGCGACTCCATCGGTTCTCGATTTTTCTAACAACGGCTAGACTCGTGACCACAGTTCAGACCCAGGAGCGTCTGGGATCATCTCCAGCCCACGTCTCTGCAGGTGAGAGCTGCAGCCCGGGGAGTGAAGAAGGCCGCCCAGCATCACGCAAGGAGCTGGCGGCTCGGCCTTGGGGACAGCGCAGGGACCTGCCCCGTGGAAACAATGCCCACATGCTTCTGATGGAAGTCAGATGACCCGGAGCCTCTCCCTGAACAGTGTGCTCCCCTCTGAGACCGTAGCAATCACATTTCTCTTACCATCCGGCACTAAAGCCCTGGGCAGATGGCCCGGCCAGGCCCCATTTGCTAAACGAATGAGGATGTTATCTGCAGGGAAAGACAGCTCGTCAGAAGCATGTTAATGACGCACCAGAGGACTGAACGACCAAGAACGATCCTGCTAACGTCGTGAATACAGAGCACCACGACGGACAACCGTGCGACCAGCTCCTCGGATCCCGCCGCACCTGCTGCCTGTCCAGCCTCATCGCCCAGGCACCCATGGCTTCCCACGCCACTCCCTCCCGCACCCCTGGGCCTTTGCACATGCTGTGTCCTCAGAGAGGACCTATCCCTTCCCCTGCCCCCTGGCAGAGTTGGCACCTCTTCACCTTCTAGCCGAGTGCATCCCCCTCACAGCCCTCCCTGTGGGTCTGCTGGTGCCCTTTTGCACGTCTGGTGCCCTCACTAGACTGGGAGCTCCTTAAGGAAAGGACTCATCCTGTTCATCTCTAAAGCCCAAGCCCTGGGCCTGTGATCAGTGTCAGCTGCCCACAGACAAATAAACAAACGGCTTTCTGAGGAAGTGTATCTGTTAGCTATCACTAGAATCACAAATTTAGCAGCTGAAAACAATGTCCATGTCTTATCTCACAGTTCCTGTGTGTGAGGAGCGCTGGGTGCTCAGAATCCAACAGGGTGTTCTGCTCGGGTCACAAGGCTAAGACCGGCTGTGTCACTCCGGCTACCTTCTCACCCGGAGACCCCGCCGGGGAAGAACTGGGCTCAGATTCACTTGGTTGCTGGCAGAATTCATGTCCTTGTGATTGCAGAACGGAGGACCCAGCTTCTGACCGGCTGGCAGCAGGCCACCCTCCGCCCCTCGCCATGTGGGCTTCCTACTGCACCAGGGCGACAAGGAGGGTCCCGGAGGAACCCCCGGCAGAGCAGTCTTACATAACGTTCCGTAGCCACGGAAGCGACATCATTTCATCCTCACTGTATTCTGCCACTTAGAACCAAGGGATAGGTCCCCACCCTCACCGAGGAAGGGGGGTCACGCAAAGAATGACGGTCGGGATCATGGGGACCGTCCTCGAGTCTGCCCACGGCTGGAAGAACGGAGGTAACTCTGCAGGCGAGGTCTTTACCGGGTTCTCATTTCCGCTCTACTTCTCCCGTGCAGGTGGCTTTGCTGCTGATGGCAGACGGCTTGTGGGACAAGATGCAGCTCCAGTGGCCCCAGGTCTTGGGGAAGGAGAATCCGTTCAACCCCCAGATCGAACAGGTGTTTGGAGACCAAGGGGGGCACTGAGTCCCTGGGAGACATGCGCCCCTGGAGAGCTTCGGGAAACGACCCTGGGTAAACTGAGCAGGTATAGAGGCTCCCCCGTCACAGACTCGTGGACTCGCCCGAGCCGCGCCTTGGCAGTGTGCTTCTCTCCTTAATAGTGCATCGGAAGGACAGTGGGGTTCCGTGGGGTTCTGGAATCAGTCCCTGCCAGGTGAGCCTCGTGTAGCCTTTATAAAGAGCTCTGGGTGCCTTTCCCAGCAAGACAGCATCTGTGCCCTTGAATGGCTGATTGTTGTCAAGGCAAATAAGAAATCCAGCATCTGAAGCAACTCACCCAGGGTCCTGGTGAGCCAGGGACGGAGGCCCCAGGAAGGCTGCTGGCCAGCTGCCAAGGACGCTCCCACCAGAAAACTGTCAACACAAAATTAGGTACAAATTTGAATATTCATTTAGAATAAGAAAACACATCACAATAATGTACAAATGTTTTTAAGTTGACAAGTACCCCCCCACAAAGTCAGGGGAGGGAAAAATGACCATTTTTCTTTCTTTAAAAGATTTTCTGACATTCTTTGACTCCATAATCGGGTCACCTCTGTCTACCACCATGATTTTGTGATGTTATTTTCTATAGGTGGAACAGAAAAATAAAACGTGTTGCTTAGTGTGGATCGTTTCGGAGAATTTCTTTCAGCTGCACAACGGATTATTGGCACAGTCATGTACATTTTTACAATTGTCCGATTGGGACGACGTCTATCGGATTTCTTTTATGGGGAGTTATTGAAGACATAGTGTCTTTGTAGTATGTGAGAGATTCGTGCCCATGTATGCACAGGAATTCTGACAGATTCTATTGTCCCTGTGTCCATTGGTGTATCATCTCCCTTGCCCATCCCTGATGGCAAGCACAGCTTTGAGGGTCAGCCTGTGTACCCCGACCCACCCTGCACCTCCAGCACCCCACCTCAACAGGCACATAATTCTGCACTCTGTCCTTGGGATCTTACCTGCTACAGAGCAGAGGTGCGGGCAGTTCAACCCCACGAGTCCCAGGGGCCAGTGAATAAACACAGCAGCCTGTCCGTCAGTGGGCAGTCGGGCAGGCGTCCTGTGCTCCTCACGGCAGCCACCTCCTTCGGTGACGCGTCTTCCTCCTCCACGTCACTCTCTTTGCTCCCTCATTCTCCTTTATGGGGTGACTTCCCAAGTAAACTACCTGCACCCAAATCTTTGTCTCAATAAAAACAAAATTGAAATGATGGTGTTTGGATGGATTAGCGACCACGTTCCTGATAGGGAGACACTTGTATCTTGCCTGGGCATCAGTTCAGATGACATCTCACCATAGACAGTGATGGGGAGACATCGCCACAGACTAGCTTCTGGCTCTGAGCACGTCATGTCCTTTCTACCCTGCACTCCTGTGCTGGGGGCTGTAGGATACTCTCCTACTGTGACCTACCCACTGGCCCCACTCCTTTGTCACAATGCTGTGGACCGTGGGAGCATACGTGAAGCCCTCCCCACACTGGCAGGACTGCAAACCACATACATGTGTCTAGCTAAACTCAGCCTAGATGGAAACCCACTTCACCTTCCCCAAGTTCCTGCAGCTGCTCCATAAGGGGAAGTATGACAGAGAAGAAGCTATTGTGTTCCAAAATCTCTTACATCTGCAAAGTTTAGAAAGCATACGACCACATGAACCCATTGTCCCCTCCCGGGGCTTGTGTCCATGAGATTCATTTGTCAGGTTATGTGTGAGCTCCAGGAGAGCCAAAATACTTAAAATGTTGTCAACCTGTTGATTTCTGTCACTTAGACGGAACCCTTGGTTCAGCATGACCAACACATGCCCGCAGGAGGTGGATCAACAGGAGGCCAACACCCACCATCAGGTGTCAGCAGGAAATGCAAACTAGGAGAATGAATGAGAATGTAAGGCCTGCAGGTGGTGGCCCAAGGAAACCTGGCACGTCCATCTCCTTCTGGCGGATGTGATACATACAGGATCTTGCCAATTACATTCTTGGTTTTGGTGTTCCAACATCACATGTTATTTTTAAGCATCAAAATACCAATACTTGCTGTAGTGTGGTTTTGTTATTTTTTTAATCTGAAATTGTATTCGGTCTCAAGATACATCAGAGAACACTGTGCTAAAATGCTGTATCCCTTTAGAAAGAATTCTATTCAATCCATCCTCTATTTAAAATGCTCCCAAGTTACTTGTGTGGGGGTGGGGGGTTGGTAGATGGACGATTTGTAACCTTGTGATATGCATTCTTGCAACCTGGCCAGCCTAGGATCAAAGTGTGTGTGTGGACAGACAGGTTTGACTGATAGACAGGAAGACCACCTGGCTTGCATTGAATGCTTCTTTTGCATGTGAATAAGATAAGGATTGCATGACTATGGCTAGAACACCGCCTCGAGTGGACAAATGGGTCATAGGACTCAAGAATGTCTGGGTTTGTTATTTTTTAGTTTTAAAGTCTCTTTCTGCCGTAAAAAGGTAGAGACAAGACTAGATTGTATGGTTTGCAGAGACGCCATCTCAAGGAAATAATTTACATAAATTCTCTTGTAACCTGGGGGAACCAATTTGCAAATAAATGGAACTGTGTCCAGAGATCTGGAGCACTTGCTCCCTTGCAAAGCTCCCCCTCACTCCAAGCAGCGTGTGCTTGTAGTTTGTTGCATTGCCCTGATCCTGGCAGGCTGAGGGACGGCAACTTGATTGATATTTTAATTTCTATTTTCAAGAATACAAGTGAAATTGATCATCTACTATTGCTTTTGCTGTTGTTGGGGGTAGATAGGAAATTCATTTTAGGCCCCGCCCCAAGCTTTTTCCAGAGGCCCTAAAGAAATAGTTATTTTCAAAAATGGGGGTGGGGTGGGTAGGGGATCCAGAGAGAGTAGATCTGGAAGTCTGGAGAGTACAGGGAAGGAGGTCCTGGCTGAGCTGTCCTAAGCCTGACCACCTCCTTTCTCTCACCCTAGATGTCACCTCTGTCCCCGCCATGTGTTACTGTCTCTTAGGAACTGAGCCCCCAGCTTGGGGAATAATTCAGCCAGTTCCATCTTCTCATATTTGATCTGAACAGGCTCAGGAGGAGGACAGAAGTGCCTGGTCCTGAGCCCTGACCTCACTCCTGAGGCACAGCACCCCAAAATCAGGAATGGGAGAGGATGGTGCTCCCAGCTCATTTTGGATAAAACACCAATTCTGCACAAAATAAATACTAACTGCCACTATTGCCTCTACAACACCTGGAGGCCAAGGCCAGGCCCTTTCCCCCCGGTCAAGCCCACAGGTAAGGCGCGCGCATTTCTGCCTCCATTTTCTATGCTCCACACCAATCCAGACGTTCCTTCCTTGAGGTTCAGCCATGCCTTTCCCTCTGGCTTGGGATGTCCTGTCCCTAGTGAAAGGGTCAGTAATGTTTTAAAGGGTAAAGGTAAAAGTTTGCAAAAGGCGGAAACTGTGGAAACTGTGTTGCTTGCATGACCTTTGCTCGGCCTTCTGTTGAGTACGGATAAGGATTATCTGGATTATCCGCAAGGCAATGGATAACCCAGCAGGTGCCGGACGAGATCCCAGACCAGTCCAACTGCAAAGTGGACAATGGGCCATGCAGAGTACGTCAGCAGGAACTGCCAGAAGCTAAAAGTAGAGTATATAACCTACACCCCAACCCTGATTCGAGGCTGAACACTTTTCGGCTCAGCCTGCCTGCACCCAGGCGCGTGCAATAAAGCCATTTTGCTCTACATTGGCCTTGCGTTGTGATCTCCCGCCGGCTGAGACCTGTTACCTAGAAGGTGCTTCGTACGGCCTGCAACCTCTGGTGTCCCTTAGATGGAACCCCTGTGATGGGAAGGGTGGGGGGGCCATCCCTGTCTCTTATTTCTGCCCCCTGAGCTACTACTGTATGTAGTTAGCTGCACTGTTCAGCACTGCAGTGAGTGAGTGCCGTCCTTGGGGAGGCACCCCAAGGGCTTTCCTGGGGTGACTCACATGCTCTCTATTCCCTGCCCCTGTTGCTGGTAAGAAGCACTGGAACCAGAACCGATAAGAACCTGGCTACCTCCCCACGAAAGCCCATCAGATCCAAATCCTTCATGTGAGACTCACATCAATACACAACATGGCAGGACCTGAGCCTGGGAACTTGCACCAGCTTCCGGACCCACCCTCTTACCTAGGCCATCCCACTAGAGAGGGGATTCTCAGCTGGGGGCCATGGAGACCCCTCCCCCAGAGTAAGAGTGCCTGTGGACTTAGAGGGGAAATGCTGTCTTCACTACCCTCCAAGCATTTCCTTAAGTTGTGAATGTAGAACCCAAAACACAGTGGCATGTTTAACTGTCTCTGGCACGAACGTTTTTATATCACCTTGCGTTGGTTGCAGATACAATCAGTTCTTATTGTTCACGGCAGTTCTGTTTACAAAGGTGACTCGAGCCCTGGCCGGTTTGGCTCAGCGGTTAGAGCGTTGGCCTGCGGTCCCGAGAGACCCGGGTTCGGTTCCCGCTAAGGGCACATACTTCGGTTGCAGTTTGTCCCCGGCCCTGGTTGGTCGTGCGGGTGGCAGCCACTCGATGTGTCCCTTCACATCGATGTTTCTCTCTCTCTCTCCCTTCCTCTCTCTCCCTCCCACTCTATCTGTACAAAAAATGGAAAAATATCCTCGGGTGAGGATAAAAAAACAAAACAAACAACAACAAAAAAAAACAAAGGTGTCTCGAACACTCGGTTAACGAGACTGCACCTCTGCTCCTAGGCTGACCTAGAGTACAGGTGCCATTCCCACAAGCCTCGGGTCATAGCGTGACCATCGACTGGGCAGTGCAGAACCTTGATTTATGGGTGCTTCTTCCCCAAGGACACCTTATTCGACGTTGGGCTGATTGATTAACATTGAACTGACAGCCAACAGCCCGCTGATTCACATCTGCAAGAAGCTTATCGGCAAATCTATCTTCTCCCCAGACACGTCACCGCCACCCCCCACTTAGAAACACGAGACAGCCCTTCAGTATCGCACTGGGTGGCACTGCAAACAATGAAATCACCAACCAAAAGCATCCAAGTGCCCCAAACGTGGCAGTAAATCCACCGTGAGGACACTTGTTTACAAAAAGCAGAACTTCGCCTTACTCAACCTCCGCTGGGGACACGCAGGTCGGGAGACGGAAATTTTTCACGGCTCACAGGACAAGAGCCACGGATGCTGACAGGGGGTGACAGATACATGCTAGCAAGTAGGCAGACTCACAGATGTAGAATTCGCCAATAATGAGCACTGACCTTGTCTGGAAATATTATTTATGGTCATCAGTACTTTGAAACGGTAGTTACCAGACCCATACAAAAGAAGCACACTGATTAACACGTCATGGAATGTGACGTTTAGTTTCAACACCATTGGTTTTCTTTGTATCGCTATATGTTTTATTTCTTGTAGTAAAAGGGTTCATCGGAGCCCTACCAGTGTGGTTCAAGTGGTTGAGCGTTGACCTATGCACCAAAAGGTCGCCAGTTCGATTCCCAGTCAGGGCACATGCCCAGGTTGTGGGGGGCATGCAGGAGGCAGCCGATCGATGTTCTCTCTCATCGATGTTTCTATCTCTCTCCCTCTCCC